AACGACTCGTTTGGCTTCTGGTATATCGTCGTCAGATTCTGCTTTGGGGGGACATATTTTTTAACCCCTATGAATTGGAGGGAAAACGCTTCCTTCAACTCATCCCAGCTTGAGATAGAGTTTGGCTTCAGCGTCCGAAACCATCTTCGGGCAAAATCCGTTAAATGGTTCCGGAAGGCTCGGCACATAATTTCCTCGGCATACCCATGCAAGAGCATGTGCCCCGTGTACATCTCCAAGTGATCGTCGGGATCCCCTCGACCATCATATGGTGGGATTGACGGCGACCTGTATTTATCGGGAAGAGGTGGCGCCATTATCTCTGCGGTAAATAGATGGTCGTGTGTGCGGCTAGGCGTGATGTCGACGTTTACCACCTCGGCCACTCGCCCTATGTTCTTTTTTAGGCCGGTGACGTTGCCCGCGAGTTTTTGCTCCAAGCTGGCCATACGTTCCATAATGGCGCGCGCTTCTTCTGTCGAGATGGCTGAGCCAGCTACTCTTGACGCCTCCGCGCTATGTACGTTGGGTCTGCCCCTTGGCTGCCCGCCTACCTGTACTGACCCTGAGTCTCCCGGTGGGTTTCCTCCTGGGTTCTGGGGCGGTACCTCGGGGTTCCCCAGGCCTCTTGCTATCCGGTCCTCAGGAGCCCGGAGTTCGGCGGCCCTTAGGCGGCTGCCGGAGGATTGGGATGGTCGAGGCCTAGGATGGCCTCTATGATTTTCACTGTCCCCGACTCCTTCTAAGACATGTTGGCGGTCATCGGGGTTGTGGTTTTCAGCCATGGCAACTCCCAGCGGCCTCGGGGCGTCTTCTAGAGGTGGCATAGAGTTCCTTCCGTCCAAGCGCTCGACTACGGCCATTAGTCCACGTACCAGGTCGGTTAGAGTTGTTAGTTGGGCCTGCATCTGCACAGGGTCTGGCCGTGGCACGTCTGGGGGCGGGACCTCATTTCTGACCAGAGGTGGACCTTCCTCCATCCCGTGATTCACCTGATGTGTGGCGGTTTCGTCCATTTGGCTGCCTTGGTTGATGGCCTCAATTCTTCTTCTTGAAGGCATGCTTGCTGACTATGTTGTTGTTGCGGGTCAAACGTATGAACCAGAGATTCTGGGTTCGGTCCCCAGCTGAGTCGGCAATTGTTAACGGTAAAATCTCGTCAACAGAAATGGGCCGGGTCACCTCTAGGTATCCCGTTGGATTACCGGCTCAATGTTTTTAAAATGGTGAGCCATGTGAAGATAATATGCTTAAAGTAGGAGAACACAAGAAATGTATAGTGGTTCGCTCTGTTAATGAAGAGCTACATCCACTGTAGTTTTGTATTCCTTTTGAGATTGTTATCTTTACATTACTCACCATGTTAAAAACACAACCAACACTTCATTGAGCCGGTAATCCAACGGAATACCTAGAGGTGACCCGGCCCATTTCTGTTGATGAGATTTCACCGTCAACTTATACTATAAATAACTATCACACGTGGAGGAACTGCAATGGGCACGTCGGAAAAATCACAGAACAACGCTAGCTCGATGCAAATGTGGGCTTAAATAAGTCCTCTCCTCAGCCCATCACCAGGGGGTCTCTGGCCAGCCCCAATTGCCACCTCCTGTGGCCGCTGTTAAATTACCAAAAAAATAAAAGCTCAGGTTGAAAGTATTAAATCTAAAAATAAAGTTTAGCTTTGAAAATGTAAATTAAGGCCCTGTTCACTTTATCGATTCGAGTTTAGAATTTAAATTTTGTTACAGTAAAAGCTCTCAGAAATAATTATATCTAACTTTTTTACTACAGTAAAAAATTCTCACGTAAAATCACATCTCAACTCAAATTATAAACTCGAATCAGCGAAGTGAATGAGCCCTAAGAGAATTTAATATTTAAATAACTAAAAAAAATGAAATTCAGAGTTGTAAGTGTCATGGTCCGTTCACTTTGCTGATTTGAATTTATAATTTGAGTTGAGATGTAATTTTATATGAGAACTTTTTATTGTAATAAAAAAATTAAATGTGACTATTTTTAAAAAAATTTTATTATAATAAAATTTAAATTTTACTGTAATAAAACTTAAATTTTAAACTCGAGACAGTAAAGTGAAGGGGAAGAATTCGGAAGGGTTGGTGCTGGCTCTTGTATCTCCTTTGCCATACACAAAACGAAATGCAAAGTTCCCACCATTTTCTTTCTTCGCCCGTCCCTTTATGTTTCCCATGATTTCTCGGCAACCAAACAGACTACTAGAGTCCCTGTTTCCACTGAGCAAGTAGCGCCCAAATATTCAGAACTGCGAAACGCGGACAAAGCCCAACCTTACTATTCTCTCTCAAAGCACCAATCACCGATTCTTCTTCTTCTTCTACTACTTTTGAGCTCAAAAACAATGCCTTCTTTTCCTCATCCCGGTTCCGTGACCATCTGCGAAATCAATCGAGACCTCAGTATGTCCCATTTTCCTCTTTCTCTCTTCATATATTTCTGTGTGAATTCCATTTTCTGTTTGGTACAGAAATCCATATAGCTTAGCACTGAAATTTTCGCACACGATGCGCAGTTACGGCGGAGAACCTTTCGGAGGATCGAGCCAAGGACACTTATGGAAAACTTCTGGTTAGTAGCTCCTCAATTTTTCTGGTTCTAAGTGTTTTTGCATTTTCAAAAGCCGTTGTTTTGGAACCGATTTTTGCTTTTGAAAAAGGTTTTAATGGCGTGAATGTGCATTAGGGAATGGTGTTTAGCCCGGTGCCGTTTCAATCGGATCAGCTGGCGAGGTCGCCGAGTCCGGAGAACAACGCAGAACAGGCAATCGCAGTAGAAGGAAAGGGAATTGTGACCACATTGCAGGAGATTGTGAATGATTCCTTCAAACGCCTTTTTCATCCTAATGATGTCAGTTGATTTTTCTATTGTCGTTTTAATTTGCTTCATTGCCTTAGCTTTGCAACAGTTCTTTGAGATAATTTTATAACTGGGGTTTAGGCCGAGGCTTTTTGTCCTATGAAGTTTTTGTTGGTGGGATTTATTGATTTTATTGAGTTGTTATCCTCTTTTCTTTTGTTGTGTGATGGAGAAGAGAAGCCACAAATATTTTCCTTGGGGGATTCAAACCATTGGGTAAAAGTCAGACACCTAACTTAGAATATGAAATGAAACGACATTGTACGAAATATGAAGTTTTTGTTCAAATAAAATGAGCAATGCTCGACACGGTTGCTGTCCAACCAGGATAAGAAGCGTCTGTGATAAATTTCTGCTGAAATAAGTTTTGTTGAGGAAATAGTAAATTATAAGTTTATGATATCTTTTAAATAAGACGAATGAAAGAGGAGACTGTGGTTGTTTGTCAAAAATATGGGGTGGCATGTTCTCTTGCTATGTGAATACTGCCTTTCTCCAGATCCCCATAAGAAGCCTGCCCTTTATAACTAATGGAAAATTGACGTGGTCTGTGAACAGTAATGTCACCTGTTCATGCTTGGGAGAACATCCAAATACCTAGTACTAAAAGAGCGAGGGGTAGACCAAGAATTACTTGGGTTGACGTAATTAGGCACGCCTTTCAAGATCTAGGGCTTCAGGAGGGTCTCGTGTTTAATAGAGTAGACTGGAAATGAGAAATCCATATAGCTGACCCCAATTAATTTGGGATTAAGGCTTGTATTTGTTGTTGTTGTAGATATGGAAAGAGAATCAAGCTTAAGTTTTCAAAGTTAATTTTGACTAGCCACACATAACTCATCAGTACTTTGTGAGGCAAGTCTTTTTCCAGGCTCAACCAGTTGTATATTAGGCGGGATTGCAATCTGACTTGAAATAAGGACATTTTCATTAGATAGAAAAATCATTAAGTGGCACATGAGTCCTTCTAATAAGAGTAGTAAAGGTTGTACCAGTTTTCTTTTCTCATCTGACAAGTTTTGTAGGTGAACCTGTTACCTGAAGTTGATCTCCAGGGAGTGACCTGGCACCAGCATAAACATATCATTGCCTTTATATCCGGGTCCAATCAAGTCATAGTTCGTGATTATGAAGATTCAGGTAAGTTTCCCAACCAAAATATGGCTTTCTACTAGTAAGAGTTGCTTATGTCATTATCTTATTGGCATCCGTTGCCCTTCTTGTTTCCATTTTGTACTGTCTTGTTTCTTATTATTAAAAAAAAAAAAAAAAAAAAAATTGGCAGCATTTCAATAAAGCACTTCATTTACTTTATTTTTATGCCACTGCTTGTCTTGTAACAGAAGGGAAGGAACCATGCATTTTAAGCAATGAGTCTCAGAGGGATATTAAATTACTTGAGTGGAGACCAAATGGCGGACGGACACTCTCTGTAGCATGCAAGCAAGTACCATATTGCTACATTCTTGTACTGAATTTTCTTTTTGTTCAAGTTTAAGATTGTATATGTTGAATATGCTGCAGAACGTTGTGATTATTTAGTCCTCTATTCGATCAAATTATTTCTCAGGGGTGGGATTTGCATTTGGGCTGCCTCTTATCCTGGGAATGCAGCAACTGTGAGATCTGGTGCTGCTGCTTTCTTGGGTACCCTCTCAAGAGGTTCCGGAATAAAGTATATTCTGGTGGATTTTCTTAAAAGTCAAAGTGATGAGCATATTAGTGCGCTGTCATGGAGTCCTGATGGAAGATATCCATACCAACTTTTTTGTGTCTTCAAATTCTGTTGATTTGATAATACTCGAATTGAATTAAATTTCACTTGCAATGGATGGTCTCTCATCAGCATACGGCAAGCCTTTAATGGGTGTTGCATTTTTTGTTTCTTTCAGACAAGTTTTATTTTCTACTTGTAATTCCAAAATATGTTTTATACACACACAAAAACGAACAAAAAAAAAAATGATATTGTTAGTTGCTGCATTTTTTTATATATAATTATTTGTTTATATGTTTTTCCATTAGGGGAAGCAGGTCTCAATTTATTTGTGTAAATACTCTTAGCATTCTTATTTGCCACTGAGGTTCAGAAATTTCCTTAACCTATATTTACATATTTAGCATCCGCTTCTTTTGAGGGTTCATCATATACCATATGGGATGTTGCTCAAGGTATGACTATAGAGCTGATGATCTCAAGCTTGCTAAATATACAAGCGACAAGTTTACTTCTGTTTTTAATTCTTTACTGGACTTTTCTATGTATATCTTGACATCATAATTGTATTCCTTAAAATTCTTATTGCTGAATCTTTTAAAACACGTCCAGACTAGTACTTGTTTTTTGTACTGACGAACATGCATTATCCCCTCATTTCTGGGTACTATCATTAATAAGCCATTATTGATTGAAGATTATATGAGAAAAACGAAATATGATATAAATAATAGTTAAGCATGACGAGAACCAAGCTCCACATAGGAGCTAAAATAATTGAAAAAAAAAAAAAAGTAAATGAGTTTCCATTGTGAAGTACAAAACATTCTCGGTCTCAGCCCTTTCCCTGTTATATTCCCCCCTCCCCATCCCCTAACCCGCCACGCTTCAATTTCTTATTTTACTATGTTCAACTTTATGTATTCCTCTATCCGTAGAGTACATTGAATGTACAGAAATGGCTATAACGAAGTTTCTGTTATTCGTATTAACAGCTACTCTAGGAGGAATGTTTTTATGTGGTGCTACAGACACCAAAAAAATGAAAAGAGAGATGGTTGAGCAAAGTTCTTTATGTTTGAAAGTTTAGAATCAAATTTCACAATGCTCTTTCTCTGGCTGCTCTTTGTTTCTCAATTTATCTTTCTGCATATGTATATCTTTATTCCGAGTGATGATGTCATTCATTAGTTCTTTCATTGTGACCTTTTCGTTTCCTTACTGATTTTCAGGTAAAGGGACACCCATTCGGCGGGGGTTAGGGGGTATATCGATACTGAAGTGGTCACCAATCGGAGATTACTTTTTCTCTGCAAAATTGTATGTCCACAATTATAATTGCATTTGGACTGTATATATATTCTTTTCTTAATCTCAATTGACTTCAAAACCAATCGTGTTAAGTAAGCTAATAATCATGTTCTCTTACAGTGACGGTACATTTTATCTTTGGGAGACAAACACATGGACATCAGAGTCATGGTCTTCAACTAGCGGTTTTGTCACGGTAAAACCAAAATGAAAACATACTTTGTAAATTTGCTGTCTTTGCTTTTTCGGTTGACATTCTACAATGTTCTTTCTGCACATCTAGGTTTCTGTTTTATTTTTGACAACTTTCAAAAGGATTTTGGTTTTTACTTCACATTTGTGGTGTTTAATTTTTAAAGCAACACTCTTTTTTCTCCTTAAAATGTTAATTTGATGGAGATTATTAGTAAAATTATTGATTCTAACTGTCAACTAAAGAAACTATGCTATGAAATTGTTATTAGGATGTGGACTTTGTGAATTATATAGTAGGATTATATGGGTTGTAGTGTGATGGAAGTTGGAAGATTGAAAAAGAAATGAATAATGCTGGAAATGAGAAGAGAAGAAGGAAACTAGGAATTCTTTGAATACATTGAGGCTTTCTAAGAGCGTTTCTTAAGAAATTTTTTCACCATGAAAGAAGAGAAAACATGATGGATTTTTATCTTGAAAAGAGAGAAAACATGTGAAGAGCTCATAGTAAATGTAAGTTGTAACCATATTGTTAGTGACCAAGCTTTCGAAACTTTACATTTTCATTTAAGCAGACTTTATTTATTTTTATGTTGCCTAAAGAAAAAGACTATAATCCTTGCCTTCTAATAATGCAGTTTGTCTTTGTCTTCCAGCTGCATCCTTTCCTATTATTTGTGTTGGTTTCTGTTAAATATATTGATTTTTTTTTTTTCTTTATGCTAACACTTTTCTGATATCAGGGAGCAACATGGGACCCTGATGGGCGCATGATACTTCTTGCTTTCTCAGAATCTTCAACATTGGGTTCAATTCACTTTGCATCAAAGCCCCCTTCATTGGGTATGTAGTTGTACTTTCAAGTTCTTATGTTCAAATTAGTGCTCAGTTGTGTTTAAACGTCTTGTGACGAAGGACAGCTAGCAATAAAGTTTAAACAGTTAGACTTGAAAATTGGCATAATGGTGCAGCGGGAGGTTTGTTTCAAAAGGAAACAGGAAAACTCTCAAGAACAAACACAAAGATCACAATAGGAGCTGAAAATTAGGGAATAATCTGATGCATTGTATTGAGCTGATTCTAACAATTATAATAAGCCTTTAAATAATGTTTGTAATGCAAAAATAAAGGAAATAACTGAAAGAGGAAACTAGGAAAACAAGGAAATCAAACCTAAACTAAATAGTAAAGCAAATAAACTTAAAATGGGAAACTAATGAAGTTCATCGTGACCGTGTGCCGCATCACATAACATTTATCTTTTCCCATAAATTTTTGAATCGTATGATGTTCGAGCAAAAGTAAAAAACTGGCAGAAAGTGAGGCGAGACCAAGAATCAAAATTAAATCAACTGAAGTTGCAGGTTGCAGTGTGCGTATGCTAATTGTTGATGTGTGTTTTGATGTTTAATAGACAATATTGGGCCCTTCTCCAAAAGCTTAATGCTTTTGATCACCTTCTAAGTAAACATGATATTTCGGAGGAATAAAGTTTTTTTTTTTTTTTTTGACAATTAAATAATCATTGCCATCAATTTAACCGTAGATTATTCTGGAAAAAGAAAAGGAAAAAAAACAAACAAACGTTAGTTATAATGATGATTTAAAATTGTTGTCTTTGAAATTGTGATGGACGAATGATATTTTCTTCTGTTTATTAATTATTTATGTTACTCTAGATGTTCTATGGATACAAGCTTTTTACTGCTAGAAAGTCTTATTTTGTCGATTCTGGGTCGTGAGAATTTTTTGTTTTGATCTCTGTTCTTTTCCCCGTAATAGCTATTGGTATTTATCTAGATTTCGTTTTCTCACTAACAGTTCACACAGTCGAAGCTCTTCTATCTAATTATTTTTATCCATAGTTTTCATGAGTACCGGTACTTCAAGGAGGTTACTCCATCAGTTTGCATTATGTTGTGTTCTTAAACATTTATTAGAAGAAATTTTGTTCTTAGCAAAGGGAAAAGGGGGCAAACTCCAAGGAGTTATGGTGTCAAGACATGGTGTTGTGCATAAGAGTTCAAGTATTTTAACAATATAAAATGGACTCCCTTGTGATACTTATCATGTGGTGCTGTCAGTGTCTTTACTTGTGATAACAAGGAAATTTTCTTAATTCCATCTATAAAATAATTGTAACTTCTCACTTCCCTAAAATGGAAAAAAAAAAGAAAAAAAATTGTAACTTCTAACCGCCCTTTTTTTCTTTTTTCTTTTTTCTTTTTTTTTGACAGATGCACATCTATTACCTGTCGAGCTGCCTGAGATAGTATCATTGACAAACAGGTAATTTTGGATTAAGTTGATATGTTTAAAATTTGGAATGCCCCCATGAGCCTTTTCTTTTCATTTATTTTCTTCAAGAGGTGAAATATCTCTAGTTGTTACCGAAAATCTATTTCATTCGTCTGACACATCTCCTTAAAGTGTATACAATTGGCGTACCTTAAATCATGTGTCTGATTTCCTTTCGTTTTACACTAGATTTTGAAGTTACCTCTTAGTTCAGTTTAATCACGGTTTGTTTTCCACACCATGATTGTGACTTTGACTTTGAGATTTTGTTCAAGAAGTTTTCATTGTTACAGCTTATGTTTAGTGTTGATTGCCAGTTTACATCGAAGTAAAGAGGCTTCATGCTCATTCTACTTCAAATTATAGTGATGATGCTGCAATTTTATTAATTTCATTGTGGATGAATTAGTATTCTGCACTATATTTAAATGGACCATGACAATAACTGTAATTCCTATGTGTTTCAATGCTCTCCAGTCAGCGCATTGAGAAGATAGCATGGGATGCTTCAGGAGAGCGGTTGGCGGTTTCATATAAAGGAGGGGATGATTTATACAGGGGCCTCATCGCCATTTATGACGTTAGGAGGAGTCCCTTAATCTCTGCATCACTAATGTGAGTGTTTCCTGTTCAGCAACCAAAAGCCCCTGCATCTTCTTTTGTTTGGACTGTAAATGCATTACTTCAAAGAGCATTTGTTGATAAATGGAACCTTAAACTTTAATAACTTGCCGATATGCCATAATATTATGCAGTGGGTTTATCAGAGGTCCAGGGGACAATCCAAAGCCAATAACCTTTGCTTTTCACGATAAGTTTAAACAGGGACCGCTGCTTTCTGTCGTAAGTAATCTTAAATTCTTTGTTGCCTCATCTATTTTGTCATGAAATGTCCTTTAAAAAAAATGAAATTTGGTATGAATCCCTATATGCAAATGAAAGTTTAGCTGTATAAGCAAATTAAAATTTACTCTCAAACTCTATATGTAGAACTTGATGTTTCAAGTTTTCCCATGTTACTGCACATTCATAGAAGTGACGTTAGGACCAGTGGGGGCACAGGCCCCCACTGAGAAAGCAAAATAATAATAATAATAATAATAATAATAATAATAATAATAACTCTCCTATAACTGCCATGATTATACTCTTTATTCCCATATTTGTGCCCCCTTTGATATACTCAGGATACGTTTTTTTTTTCTTTTTTTGAAAGCCTACTCTTTTACTTTTGGGCTTTCTTTGATTTTTTTTATTGGGTTCTAATTTTTCTTTTTGCTGATTTTTTATTGGGCTCTAATTGATAACTTGCTTCCCAATTCACACGGTAGAATTACAAACTGAAAAGATATTTATAATATTAATATATAATATAAATGAAAGATATTTTTAATAGCATCGATTATGAAGTTATCATGCATCAGTACTAAAAGATGAGAACTCATCGAGAACAACTGTAATGTGAACCTTACTTAATAAAATTTTATTGCAAAAAATTATTAGAAAGCTGCTTTATTTTTATGTTGTGTTAATTTATAAATTTTATACTTCTTTGTGCCTCCACTAGATTAAAAGTCTGGTTACGTCCTTGTGCACATTTATTTATGCTCCGATAGAGTTCACTCACTCGTTTATACTCTTTTTTTTCCCCTTGTTTTGGGTATGCAGTGTTGGAGTAGTGGATTTTGCTGTACCTATCCTCTCATATTTCGCTCACATATTCTTCCTTAGCTCACGGCGTTCTCCTACTTGTGAATTTCTCTGTACCCTCTCTCATATTCTGCTATTATGTTTGGTATTGATATCCTCCTCATGATTGGACATGTGTTGCCTCGGATCCTAAACTTTCAAGCCAGAGAAGTATTATTCTTTTATGTTGAAGTCCACCGAAAATATGCTTTTGAAACTTTAGAGAGATTATCATGGATTTGCGGTTTAGATTAAAAAAACAAAAACAAAAACAAAAAGTGATGCCAATTAGAATAGGATTCGATTGCAACTAGCTAGCTCTCTCTCTCTCTATTTGTTTTCTTTCTTGGAGCAAGAAGTTTGGTGGGAACTATATTTATAAATGAAATCTCTGTCAATAAGTTACATAGAAGGGAGAGTGTGTTTTATTACTTCTGTATTCCAGCATGCCTTTTTTATTTTTATTTTTATTGGAGTTGTGCATTTTTAGATGTTTCTCATTATTTTTTTCTTGTTTATTTTTTCACAGTTTTTTCTAAAATATTATTATTTGTCTTAATAAATACTTTAACTAATTGTATCACTGGACCGTTTCTTTCCCCCCTCTACTTTTTTTTTTTAGCTTTTTTTTTAGTTTTTCTTTTTCTTTTCTTCTTTTTTCATATCTTTTTTTTATTGGATCTTTTAACCTTTAATTTTTATATATTTTTAAATATATCTCCCTTAAATATTTTTCTTACAGTTATTTAAAATATCACTTTTTGACCTTGGTAAATTTATTTATTTTCAAATGTATCTCTGCATAAATATTTTTTATCTGTGATTGTCATAAATTTTAACTTCAGTTCTGAAATATTTTGCACATGTTTTTTCCATAAGTTTTTTTTTTATTCTCTTTTCACTGTCTTTTGCTTCAAATTTCTTTTTGTCCACTTTTATCTTTATTTCTTTTATTCTTCCTCCCCCCACCCCAATTTGTATAACCGTTTTGACTTTCGCGCACGTTTTTTACTAGTACATATAAAAGGAGAATGAGATTTAAGTGTGCAAACGAAACAAGGAGAACGGGTTTTAAGGGGTGCTAACGAAATGTTTCGTTTTTTTTTTTTTAACTTTTCACTTCCTTTCTTAAACTCTTCTCTATTTTCCCTCTCTGCTTTCATGCTTGCTTTCTTTTTTTCCTTTCTTAAACTTTTCTCTCTTTTCCCTCTCTGCTTTCTTTTATGTCTCCCTATTTCCGTTCTCATCTTTTTAACCCAATTATGCATTTTTTTGTTATCCAAATTGCCCCTCATAACTATGCTTTTCTTTTTAATTCCCTGCTTAAATAATTTTCTCGTATATATTCTTGTGTAAATTTTTTAAATCATGTTCTCCTAATAAAATGTTTTGTAAGTGTTTTTTTTTATTCCTTTTTTTTCTCTCTCTCTCACTCTCTCTCTCTAGGGTTATTGGCACAAATGGTCCCTAACATCTTTAGTAAGTGACAGTTTGGTCCCCAATCTTTTTTTTTTTTGAGCAAATCGACCCTTAACCTTTTAAAACAAGTGCAATCTGGCCCTTTCTATCAAGATTCGTCCAAAAGCTAACGGCCCAATGCATGTGACTACCCACGTTACCCAAATTGTTGGTGGAAAGACCCGCTTGAACTCTTCTTTTATTCTTATTTTTGTTTTCTTCCACTCCTAATATTAGCAGAAAAGCTCACACTCGATCTCAATGGAGCTTTTCCTCTGAGAACAACGAACCCACTTTTCCGTCCTCGACCGATTCCACAATAGAGAAATCTCGTTATCCGGCAAATTGTTCGAAACCCTCAACTTCGGTCTCTCGAACTTCTGTTGATTGGAAAGATTATCCAAATTATTATTGTTGTTGTTACTACTCATTGAATTCGAATGCAAAGGAGATTGCTTCAGAATACACTCTTCGGACGATTGTTGAGAGACTTGGCTTGCATATTCAGATTTCTAACCTTCAAAACGTTGTCGTTTGCGTCCTCGATGAAGTTCGCCGCCTTGGGAACTATTGGCACCATGAAGAATAGAGCAGCGTTGAATGTCGCAATCCGCAGGGGTGTTTCCGACTTGGCACCTCCGAGTTGTCGGTTCAGATGAACTGCCGCCAAGGCCGGTACCCTAGGTTTGGTTTCGGCTCCGTTTCGGGCTTTGGAACTCAACTTCCTAAACCTTCTGATGACGACCTTGGGCTTCGAACGACGGCATATCAGCCATCGAAGGTGGGAGCAGAGGAGGCGGAGATTACGGTTGAGGAGTTTGAGCATTTCAGATAAGTGAGCATGTGTTTTTACACATATACCCCAACAATCTGGATTACATGGGTGGTCACGTGCATTGGGCCGTTAGCTTTTAGATAGATCTTGACAGAAAGGAACATATTGTACCTGTTTTAAAAGTTTGGGGTCGATTTCCCAAAAAAAAAAAAAAGTTGGGGACCAAACTGTCACTTACTAAATAGGTTGGGGACCATTTGTGCCAATAATCCTTTTTTTTGTTGTCTTCTTTTTTTATTATTCTAATCTATTTTGTCTTATTATACATTCTTTTTTTTTTTTTTTTTTATTTCTCCAAACGAGATCGTAATAAATATGTTTTTCATTCTTATCTATAAACTCTCTCGCTCATATACTCGCGGTTTCAAGTAGTATATATGTTTTTCTTCGATTTCGCTTGGTAATATTTTATATACTAAGTAAATAATAACAACTCACTTTTCATCATCATAGGAAATAAATGTTGAAATGTTACTAAATAATTAGTATTTCAAGTAATATTGAAAGTTCTTTAAGAATGTCATTAGGGGAAAGATTTTTAACACATATTCAACATCAAATATAATTATAAAGATTAATTACAAAAGTTTCCCTCCAATTATGACTCTATTAACACTTTACCATCTGAACTTTTATTTGTAACATATTTCCTCCTATCTTTATTCTATTAACTAATTTACCCCTCTATTACTATGTGCGAGGAAAATAAGCATATTGACTCTTATAACATTTTATCTTCTGAATTTTTATTTGTAACATATTTTCTCTTATCTTTATTCTATTAACAAATTTACCCCTCCAGTACTATGAGCGGGGAAAATAAGCATATAAGTGGCTCGTGAACAAAAATGAAGGGTGGGTATTGCCATAAAATGTATTGTTTTCTTCTAAGTTACCATAAAAAAAAGGGTGAAAAACGTAAAGTAAAATAAGCTGAAACCACTAGATTTTTTTTTTTTTTTGAAGTAAAGTTTCATTTTGCCAAAAACAAGTTATAGATACACAACTAGTCGTAACTGACCACTCACTACAAGAAAATTCGACTAACCATTAGTTGGATTCACCAATAAAGATGGATGAAGCACAAGGGACGATCACAAGCACTAAGACCCATTAGGAAAAAGCCTACTCGGCGCATAAAAATTGAACACGACAAAGTTTGTTTGAAAGAAACACTACAGTCGACAGATTAAACTAGTCGACTGAGACCAAACATCAAATAATGGGGACATAAGCAACACGACGTAGATACACATCCAGTCAGACATCACGATCCACACCATTAATAAACAACTCAAACGGGTGAGACAAAACAACAAACCTTCCATTAATAGAGGTTTTAACCAAAGCCACCACAATATAAACATAAAATTTATTGGCAAAAACAACGTCATTGTTACACACATATAGATCTATAAAACAAGAGGAAAAAAAATAACTTCGAACACTGTCGTCAAATGCCTTTGGCGAAGGGGCAGCCCGCAAAGGAACTGTCAAAGAAGGCGGCTGGCTTCGAGAGATGTGTAACAGTATTGAAAAGGTGCCACCAAACAAAGCACGTGAGTAGCATGTGCCATTGCCGATGCACTTTCACACAGGTACGCTTTTCAACTCTAGACACTAAATTGTTTGGATATGAATACATTAAGGAATTGTATGCATTAGACTCTGATTTTGGGGAAGCATTCAAGACTTGCACAAAGGGGGCGAGTGGGAAATATTATTTGCATGACGGTTTTATGTTTCGGGAAAATAAATTGTGTGTTCCACATTCGTCTTTGTGTGAATTGCTTGTTAGGGAAGCACATAGTGGCGGTTTGATAGGTCACTTTGGGGTAGCTAAAGCTTTAGGAGTGTTGCAAGAGCACTTCTTTTGGCCACGCATGAAACGTGATGTGGAGAGACTTTGTGATAGATGCATTGCATGTAGGAAAGTTACGTCTAGGCAACAACCACATGGTTTATACAAACCCCTTCCCATTCCTAGTGCACCTTGGGTTAACATTTCTATGGATTTCGTTTTGGGATTACCTAGAACTAAGAGGGGGAGAGACTCAATTTTTGTGGTTGTAGATAGGTTCTCGAAAATGGCACACTTCATTGCATGTCATACAACCGATGATGCATCATACATAGCTGATTTGTTCTTTAAGGAAATTGTTAGGTTGCATGGCATGGCTAGAACCATTGTTTCTGATAGGGATGCAAAGTTCTTGAGTTACTTCTAGAAGATTGTGGGGTAAGTTAGGCACCAAGTTATTATTTTCTACTACTTGTCATCCACAAACCGATGGTCAAACCGAAGTAGTGAATAGGACATTGTCTACTTTGTTGCGAGTAATCATACAAAAGAACTTGAAAACATGGGAAGATTGTTTGCCACATGTTGAATTTGCTTATAACCGATGCATTCATTCTGCAACTAAGTTTTCACCGTTTGAGATTGTTTATGGTTTAAACCCACTGACTCCTTTGGATTTAACTCCTTTACCTTTGAGTAAACGTGTTAATTTCGATGGCAAAAAGAAGGCTGATTTTGTTAGGTAAATTCATGAGAAAGCAAGACAACACATAGAGCGGTGAACGGAGCAGTACGTCAAGCAAGCCAACAAGGGACGCAAGAAGGTTGTCTTTGAACCGGGAGATTGGGTTTGGCTGCATATGAGGAATGATCGTTTTCCCGAGCAAAAATGTTCAAAACTTCTTCCAAGGGGTGATGGACCATTTCAAGTGGTGGAGCGCATCAATGACAACGCCTACAAGCTTGAATTACCATGTGAGTATGGTGTTAGTGCAAGCTTTAATGTTTCTGATCTATCTCCTTTTGATGTAGGTGACGATTTGAGGACAAATCCTTTTCAAGAGGGAGAGAATGATGCGATAGGTGCAGCACAAGAGGAACAACCGGCTTACAGAGCATAAGGGTAAGGGCAACATTCAAGAGATCCATTGAGTCTACCAAGTGGTCCGGTGACAAAGCTTAGAGTCAAACGCTTCAATGAAGCATTGAACGGGCTGGTTCAACAAGTTGGAGATAAACACATGGAGGCCCAACATAAGTCCAAACCAGAATGAAGAGAACCTAGTCACCATGATTAAGGTTCTAGAAGATTCAAGTTGAATTGCAAGAGCTTAGCAAGGGGAGTCCAACTCAAATTAAGAAGCCTTGTTAGGGATATTTGTTACTTATGTTTTTATTTGTTATTGGGATTTTAATGATATTTTCTACATAGGACAGGGCTGGCCGAATTGGGCCTAGGGGAAAACATTGTGGCCGAATTGGCCTTGGATTAGAATAGGAAGGGTTTGCCGAGTTTGGGCTTAAGCTTAGGTAACTATATGTTTCAGTTTTCATTAGGGTTGAAAAATGTATCAAATATGAATAGGGTTGTAAAAACACGTTTTCAGCAATTAAGAATAATATTAGAGGTTTTCATATTTTGTGCTTCTTGGCTCTTGAGAAGATTTTGAACTTATCAAGTACTTTTCTTGTGGCGTTCAAACAATTGAACTTATCATCGAGATTAACGAGTGATTCTTGAGAATCTTGGTGTGGCGTTCTTCATCTTTCGTAGTTCTTGATTCTCGTCTCGATAGACAACGGGTTAAGGCTCAACAATCTTGCATCTTGAAGATCTTGGGGTTGCGATCCACGTTTGGTGTTGGGTCTCATCGCGTCGTTGGCGAGGTTCATATCAGTTTTTGTGAAGGAATTAGAAAACAGATAAAAGTTGTTTCCACTTTTCTATTTTTATTTTTTAGTACTTATCAATAATATTATAATATATTAATTAATACGATTTTACTTTTTATTATACTCAAAATAATTTCTTAAAAAACCAACTAAAGACAATTTCAGAATCGGTCCCAGAATGATTTTCAAAACAATCTCATTTTTACTTTTTATTAAAAATAAAATTATTTTGAAACCAATTCCAAACGCACCACCCCTTATTTTTAACTCCATTAGGGTTTTTAGGGTGAGAGAACTCTTGAAAAAATTGACAAAAACTAATGAAGCTTTGAAGCTCCCTTGTGTATTAGAGCACACTTAGCAACCACAATAAGAGGGAGATGGTAGCAAAATGATTCCAATTGATAATAAGTTTGCTCATTCATATTTTTTTCTCATTTATACTTGCTTATTTAGTTATTTTCTTACCTTTTATCGGTTGATTTTGGTTCCATAGGAGATATACTAGGTGTTTTGATGAGTTTTCTTCTAAAATTGCAACTGGATGCCTTTGATGAAAAACCTTTAAAAAGCTAAAAATGAGAAACAGAAGATAACATGATGGAACGTAGAATGAAAATAGGGAAGACAACAAAATATTCATCTGACTAAGGGTAGAAGAGTAATTTTGTATTCCCTGTCGCACCATCCACTGCTAAATGAGTGACATGTATAATTTCTTATCACTTAAAATAGCAGAAGGGACATATTTGTTAACATAATTGGAGGACAAATGTTCAAATAAGAGTTTTGGGGATAAAATGTTACAAAAGTAATAGTTTAGGAAAATTTTATAATTAATCCTAAATATAATAATAATAATAATAATATTTTACTTTAGGTAAAATGGGTTAGGATTTATCACCACACGCACCTCATCTAGACAAGTTCTCAAAGAGATCATGACATTGACAGAAGTTCCTTATGACCTATTAAAAAACATCCTTAGAATTTGAGTATTTTTTGTAGGTACTTCCTCTGTTAGGGCCTTCCTACCGATAAAGTCAGTGTTTTATTATTGAATCTTGTCAAAATAATATCATATTTAAAAATTTTACAGAACTAACAGTTTATAATATAGATCCGGATTGAAAATAAAAAATTATCTACAGTTTATTTTTTTAGTCCTATACCAGAGAGACTTTCTTTTTTTAATTAAAAAATCTTACTACAAAAAAGGTCAACTAAAAAGACAAGACTTGCAACACCCCCTAAGCTAGCATATCACTAATGTTAGTCTCGATGGAGGCTGCCCTACTATACTGTGGCTTAGTTTGGTAGTGCTGTAGATTTTAAAAAAATTACTTTTAGCTGTTCTGAAGGAACAAGCAGCTGTTACAAACAGTAGTAGAGTGTTTGGTAAACTATAATTATAGTAGCTATGCAGGTTCTAAAATCAGCGCAATAACGTTTGGTAAATTTTGAAGTTAAATCACTGTGAGTAATTAAAATGACCAAAATAGACATAGTATGAAACTTAAATATATATAATTGTTCATGGTATTTAGAAATACTTGTTTTAACTTTAAAAAAAAAAACATAATGCTATGATTATGAGTTTTCTAACAATAAATTTATGATAATTAATTCTTTTTTTTTTCATTCTCATTCACAATATAGTTACAACAAAAAAGAGCATTAGTGAGTAATCAACGTATACAACAAAAATGTACATTCTATGTTCAACAACTGAGAGGCATTAAAAGAATTAAATCATGCTCATTAAACTTGCTGCAATTTGATCTCGTACTTCATCCATTTCTTGTGATAATAAAGCTTGATTTTCTTCTACATTGTCCTCTGGTTGATTCTCTTCATAAATGAATAACTAGCTTCGTAAACGAATAACTTGCTTCGTAAACGAAAACGCCTACAATAACTATGTTCCTCTGCAATCGCAGTTAAGATTTTAAGCTTGGTCTGACCATCGGGTGCCTTGGCAGATAATTTCTCCAACTGTAAAAGCAGACAATAAAATTAGCAATAAACTCCACTTCTACATTTCCAGCATCTACTGCCATTATTTGTTCACACTGATTTTCCATATAACAACTATCAATGAAAGTTGCATGAGACGCACAAACTTACCATGCAATTTACGCCACAATCTCGACGCAATTCGATAGCTATAGTAATAAATTCCTTTCCATATTTTACTGTTAAATGCTTCCTGATATCCGTTAGTTCCGGTACATCTACACATCTCGAAGATGCAAATATTACACTTGAAATCGCTTCCTTCAGATCAATCGGACAGTTTCTGGTGGTGGGAAAAAAACGAATGAATGAATGAACATAACGCTATTGACAAACAAAAAGAACAACTAACTGACAAGACCAACTAGTAACTGAAATAACTATCCACCAATTACAAAAACCAGATATGCTAAACACAGGTTGAATTTTTTCACCAACAATCTCTGGTGCTCTGGAAGGAACACACATTAACTATAAGAAGCATATTATTTTGTTTATCTCTAATTAGGGATATATGTCTACATAGAAGATGAAGTGAATTGCTAAACACACATTAACTATACAATACTGCTTACCCAAAATTGAGTTTTTCACACTTCCAGCAAGAACAATACTTCACTTCTTACCAAAATCATAAAATGGATTGATTTCACTTCCATTTTCTTGGATGCCGTTCAGAAATGCAACATTGTTTAAAGAACAAAAAAAGACTTCAATTCCAACCAAATAACCATATCTATGAAACAATTCCAACCAAATAACAGAGCACCATTCCAAATAAAAAAAAAATTCTTGCAAACATATATATCCATACACACACATATATACCTACAAAACACAAATACAATCCCCTGAAAATGTCAACTCACTCTAAAACAAAAAAAACAAAAAAACACGAATCAATTTGTTATTGTTTTCCATAATCATACTCAAGGAAATGCAATCAAAGTTCTGTATCTCTAGCTCTCTCTCTACTTTTGCAATTGTCTCCACACTCCACCACTTCCTTCCCTTTTTTTCCCTCAATCTCCCACCCATGAACCCGCCAGCGCTGCTACCCCAAGATCAGGAAACCCCCCAACAATACCCCGCAAGATCAGGAAACCCCCAAGATCAGGAAATACATAGCAAAGCAAAGAAATGAATTTTTTTCCCAAAATCCATCAATCAAGAGAACAATCCGGTGATAACACACAGAATAAAGTTGGAACAAACATTAACCCACATGTTGATAGAATCGAATAAAGAAAAAAAAAAACACTTACAGTGAAAACATAAGCAAAATGGAGAGAAAGCCAGCCAGAGCAAAAAATTTCCGTGAAAACATAACCAAATCAGTTTAAACGAAGATCAATCGAGTACTTACAGCGGCGATACTCTTGGATCTGTTGAGCTCCAACCGGCAATCCCACAATCAGGAAACCCTAACCACCACAGCCATGTATGACTGAGAGAAGGGAGAGAGAGTCCACCAAAACTTCAATCACAGGCAGAGATTAAAACCCTGTAAAGCACAAAGGGAGAACGAGAGAACAAAGAGGGAAGAGCTTGATTTCGGAGAGAGCAGAGAGGGAGACGAGAGAACTCGTGAGAGAAGAGAGAACAGTACCTGGTAATGGCGTGGGATTTTTTTCATTCAACAGGGGTAAATGGAGAATAACAAAAGTTTCATTAAATCAAACTTGTTCTACAATCAGAAGCAGCCCAAAGACTGCTTCTGATTTTGGCCCTAACTTATTCAAAAATTCTTTTAAAAGTACTTTTTCTTGTTTTTACTACACACCACAAACCAACTGTGGCTATTTAGAGAATTCATTTTAGCCTCTAATAATCTCTACCAAACTAAACCAAACTTACAGATGTCCACTTTGTATCGATAGAAACTCTTGGACCTTATTATTATCTCGTTGGAGATTGACCCGATGGGGACTTGCAGTGTAGAACGCCACATGATGACATTTTGGTCCATACGAATAGACAGAAGGAAACCCACCCATTTTAAAGAAACCGTAAGGAAAATTGTGCTCACGTAGCCACGTATGTTTTATATGAAAGGGGTATAATGCAACTTTTTAAAGATAAATATGATTCGTGATCTCACACGTGATTGAATTATTCATCTTGTACATCAATTCTACTTACTAGGCTTAGACTCACTTCGTTATGGTGATGCAGATATGTCATTTCTCTGTACTGTATCAACAGTATGATGCTAGAAGGTTGGCTGATGATATATCTTTTGAGCCTGTGGACTTGTGTATATGGACGATGATGCTGGCTTGTTTTTTACATGTTTTACTTCTGTCTCATTTTGTACGCCCTCAGAGACTATAAACAATTGTAAATACTGAATCAGCCAATTTGGATTTGTGTAACAAACTTTATGTTTTATTTACGAATTAAAAAACATTTTAAAAGTTTAAATTTGCTCGTATTTTTATCTTTATTTTTAAGGATAATTCCAGTTGGGTACCTTGTGTTGTAGTGAAATCTTTATTTAATACTCGTGTTTTTTATAATTTTAAACTAATACCTCTAACTTTTAAAATGTTATTTTTTGGTATCTTGAAGTCCTTTTTTAAGACATGAAATGTAGAATTTAAAGTTAAAAAAGGGCAATTTTTTAAAAATATCTCTTGAAATGGAATTCTTTTTATTTTTACTCATTAATATTAGTCCATATATTTCTACTTTTTAAACTAAAAGTAGTAAAGTAATAAAGTTTTTTTTAAAAGAGACAATTTTAGTAAATTAGGTATTTAAAAAAATATAATATGTAATATTCTCTCATAAAAACACGAGATATTAAAAAATAATTTCGCTATAACATAGTACCAAATTGAAATTATCCCTCATTTTTACGTATGTAAGTTAAGGAGAAAAAACAAATGAATAGTGAAAAGCATCGACACGACACCTAATATAAAAGGTAAGTGCTAAGTTACATTAGATGATTGTTACAAGACTAATTACACATGTATCCAATAAATAAGAAGGGGGTAGCTCAATTGGTGTTTAGTGTGTGTATGAGTTATTTTTAATGTATTGGGTCCAAGTTTTCGTGTCGCATAATAAAGAAAAGGACCCTGCCAATCTACCGGTAAGACTAGTTTCTAACTGTGAGATTTAATTAAAATTACATCAAATTAAAAAATATGCATAATAAATAGTTTTTAATACAATTTTTTACTGTAAAATTTGATTAAAATTACATCAGATTAAAAAATATGTAAAATAGTTAATTTTTAATATATATCTAATAATTGAAAAGTATAGAAGTACCGGTAATTCATTTTTCTTTTTCCAATATTAGTAGAAACTCCTAAAAAATCCAATTAATTAAATTCAAAACTTAATGAGACAGATCGGTCCATCCTCACGATGGATCTTGCTCCTTCATCGTCTACACATGGCCAATTGAGTTTGAAATCCCAACTCATACTAGATTTTGCGCCATCGCCATCAGAACTCTCCAGTTCTTTCCCATATCGGATGTCGCAGTGACATATTTGTCCATCCTTTCATAGATTACAATTGTTATCAAAACCCTCCTTTTTGACTTTTACTGTCACATTTTAGTACCCTCACCAAACAAGTAATCTCGGTCATTAGACAAAGATCCTTATTTTTCTCAATTATATCTTTTTTGAGTTAATCTCACGAATGGTCTATAAAATTTACCCTAAATTTCACTCCTTGATTTTTAAAATGTCTCACAGTTGGTCTCTGAGGTTTTATTCTGTTTCACTTTTAGTCCTTCTGTTAACTTGATGTTAAATATTAAATGAAATTTGTGTAAATTAGGTACCAAAATTGAAAACAACTGAATCTTAAGGACTATTTGAGTAAATTAAGTTTTATTTTATGTATTATTTTAGTCTCTAAATTTTAGATGTTTCTAATTTTGATCTCTAATTTCCACATATTTTTAACACTTAGCTAACATAATGACCAAAACTGACATAAAGTAAAACGTCAAGGACCAATTGTGAGACATTTTAAAAGTTAGGAACTAAAATGGGATTAAGGTCAAACCTCAGGGATTATTTGTATAATTAATCCATCTTTTCAGAATTTATTTCAAAAATTTTAAAACATATAGGCCCGTTCGGTTTGCTAATTCGAGTTTTTAATTCGAGTTGAGATGTGATATTGTGTGAGAGCTTTTTACTGTAGCAAAAAAGTCAGATGTGACTGTTTCTAAGAGTTTTTTACTGTAGCAAAACTCGAATTCTAAACTCGAATTAACGAAAAGAACAGGGCAATAGTATACTTTTTGAATTATCAAAAACATAAAGAAAAACATAGTATTTAGTAAAACCTAAGGGGTATTTTTTTGGCATAATTTGTGGTAGGGTAGGCAAATATGCTCTTCCGGTAGGTAAAGTAAAATTACAGTTGACCACAGAAGTTCATTGGTCGGCGTTGCGAAATACAGGGAGATAATTGTGAGCGTGGGTGTATATAAACAAAGCAAGAGCAGAGCTGGATTAAACAAATGAATTAATGGATCAGGGAAAAAAAGCAAATTAATTAATGATTTCTCCTAGTAATAAGGGAGTTTATCTGATACCATGCGCTATTTTGAACTACCGTAGGACATTGATATAGTAACAAATTAATTAATGATTTCTCTTAATAATAAGGGCCGTTTGGTTAAAATCCCTGGTGTGGACTTGAAAGTAATTTCCGTATTGCTCTTTGAAATGTTGCCCGTTCACTTCGTTGATCCGAGTTTGTAATTCGAGTTAAGATGTGATTTTGTGTGAGAGCTTTTTACTATAGTAAAAAAGTTAGATGTGACTGTTTCTGAGAGCTTTTTACTGTAGCAAAACTCGAATTATAAACTCAAATCGGCGAAATGAATGGGGTCTCTATTTATTTTTTCTCACAGAAGCCTAAGTGGAGAATAGTGTCCACGTGTTAAAAATATGAGTTATTTTTTTATTATCGTCTACTTACTTCCCATATGGAAATTTCAAACCCATATCTACTACTCAACCCCAGACGCCGTGGAACTCTCCACCATTGTTTATTAGGGTCTGTTCTTTTGAAGTGTGATTTGAGTATAATTTTTAAGTTAAATTTGAGTTATAACTTAAGTTGAAGTTGTTACTTGAGTTTGTGTTTGGTTGTGTACATTTGAGTTATGGTTTGAGATAAAAATCTTTGAGTTTGTGTTTGAGTGAGTCAAAACTTGAATTTGTATTTAGATAGTATTTTAATAAAAACTCAATGGTGATGAAAAATTTTAATAGGGTATATGGGTGGGGTTTTATTCGTCTTTTCGTTGTCAACGCCTAAAAAAAATCATCTCAATCAGGATTAAAACGAAAAAGTTATAGCATTTTTAAGAATAGAAAAAATAATGTTCATTAATTTGAGTTCGAGTTTCTGAACTCGAGTTGAAGGAGAAACTTGAACTCGAGTTTTAGTCCCAAACTCGAGTTCAAACTTAAAAGAACATGAACTTGAATAAAGTTAGAACACGAGTTGCCTTTTTTTGAGTTTTTGAGACTGCCGAACAAGGCCTTAATCTCCATATTTGTTGTTTTCTTATACGTGTGGCCCTGACAATTTGAGATCGAAAGCAACGCTAAAGATTTGAAATCTTGTCGGCGAGATCTAATAAACCGCAGCTGCATTCTTAGTCGGCAACTGAGTTTTCAAAATTGGCAAATATTATGACCCCATTTAGTTCGTTTATTTGAGTTTTTAATTTGAATTGATATGTGACTTTATATGAGAATTTTTTACTGTAACAAAAAAATTAAATGTGACTGTTTCTAAAAGTATTTTACTCTAACAAAATTCGAATAGATAATTTGAGCCCGTTCACTTCGCTGATTCGAGTTTTTAATTCGAGTTGAGATGTGATTTTATGTGAGAGCTTTTTACTGTAGCAAAAAAGTTAGATGTGATTATTTGTGAGAGCTTTTTACTATAATAAAACTCGAATTCTAAACTCGAATCAGTGAAATGAACGGGGCTAAAATAAACAGAGTCTTAAAATATTTAATCTCTTTTTAGGTTGTAGCTACTCTTCAGCTAAAACACACACACAGCCCCCCCCTAGTTCAACCTTCAAAAAAAAAATCGAATGTAATTCTACTTCAAAGTCTGTGATTTATGTCGTGTGTGCACGTTGCAGGATTAAAATTAAAAAAAAAAAAAAAAAAAAAAAAAAAAAAAAAAAAAAAAAAAAAAAACAGGTATCGTTTCCGATTGAGACTTACAGATAATGATTAGTGTCGTAAAAAAATAGTTATTGATAGTGCGTATTTGTCTATCCTATCATAAGAATTGCCTTCTTTTAAAAAAGATTTTTTTGGACGATGTCACTGAAATTCAAGTCATATTTTGCACGTTGCAGAGGACGCCTGAGAATATGTCTCTCTTTCTCCGCTCCAGTGGTCTCACAGTCTCCTTCATTTCTTGTGTATCTATATCCTCCTCATCTTCTTCGTCTTCAAGTGGTTTACTGTCTATGGCCGTAACCGCTGATCCGTGTAAGAACGCCTCTCTGAAACTCACTGAAATCTCCTTTTGATCTTACAAAAATCAAAACCGCTTTGTGTATTAGATTCTGCAAAACTGACGCATAAATTATTGTCTTGATTTCGGACGCATATCACCTTTCCCATTCATTCCATGGCATATTATCCGTAAATTCTTAGAAATGACGATTTTGTGAGCATTTGGATTTCTTTTCTGTCGCTCTTTTCTTGTAGCTAATGAAATCACATTTTACTCCTCTTGGGTGGGCATTGGGATCATATGCACCCAATAAGAGTGGGGTGTATTTGGGATAATTCTGGGTCATTCTATGTAGTTTGAATCCAACCCGTTAGATTATGAATTTGGGGCTAGTATTTTGTGTAAGAGTAATCAGATAACCACACAACATTTTTGTTCGTCATTTCTGCCTAGGCTAGCACACTTGTTAGGCATTGTCATCCGTTAAATCTTTTCGAACTTTAGGGCCCGTATGTGCCACTGACTTGAACCCATGTTTCTGATTTTTCTCCCACAAAAAATTGAATAAAAAATTAGCCGCCAATCGGTTCTCTCACAAAATTTGAATGCAGAATCAAAATCGCTGACTTGAACCCATGAACCAAACAGACCATTAGTTGGGGGCATTTGGTTTCTTGCTCAGTGGAAACCCCATTTTCCCTCTGTAGCTTTATTGTGGAGAAAGCAGACCTCTCACAAGTACAACTGTTTTGGAAAAATAGCTATCTATTACCTACCCCGGATGTGTTGGCATATCAGATATGCCATATAGGGATTTCCAAGAATTCTTGTCATTGCCTTTCAACTCTCTGATAAGATATAGTATTAGAGAGAAAAATGACTATGAATTTGTATTACTTGATTCAAGTGACAAGAAACGAGCAACACAATGAAGGATAGAATTTGTTAGCTTTTGAGGGTCCCACTCCGCCGGACGCATACGCCAAGTTTAACCCATATCTTTTCTAAGAACCCCCCCCCCCCCCCCCCCCCCAGCATTTCCCTTAGCTAATATACGACCCTGTACATTATTCTTCCTTTTCCATAACTGAAAAAACACACTCCGTGACACATCATGAACCTTATGACTAAGGCATGTGCTTTGCACACCTGGCATAAGCGAATCTCACTGGAGGCTTTATCACTCTCTTCCCTAGGTTCACCGATAATGAATCAATTAGACGCACTTTTAATACTTGTTCCACTTTTGGAGGACCATAATCACAAGATCCCAATTCTTTAGGACTAATGTAGCCATTCGAGAATTATTTATCCATAATTAACACGAACAGTTGCTCTTGGAGTGGCCTTATGACCTTGCCGATCTTATTACTTTAGAGAGTCAAATAACCTGACTTGATTTTGGGTGTGGTCCATGTTTGTTTATACATACAATTTTTGGAAAAAACTGCTAAAGGCTAATTATGGTGATTTTTTGTCCCACAATAACTATGATAGAGAAAATGCCAATTTAAGTTGAATGGATTAAAAAGGATGTTACCACACGGATCGGAATTATAAATTCTCTTGTTTTCTTCCCTTATGTAATATTCATACTCGTTTGCCATATGCACCATCAATGGTGATAAATTTTTATAATTATGCTCAATGTTTTATGATGGCTTATCATGATCTCATGTTTCTTTCTTATTTCTTAATAGATCACGGATCATATTTGACACAGTTTGATATCACTGGCATTATTATATCCATGTCAGTAACCTTTTAAGCTGCCTTCCCATTTAAATTCTGCCTCTCTTAGACTGTTAAAATATCCCATCCAAACTCATCCCTTTGGATTACTAGTTATATATAGTACCATCAATGTCATGTGGCTTGAAAATTTTTAACCACCAAGTGATGTAGCAGTTAATTTGTTACATTCTGGTTAATAATGGCATTCAAATTAGTTATGCATATTTTGGATTTAACCAATTAGAAATTGACAAGTCAATGTCTATGTCAGTTGGTGGCCAAGATTAGCAAGTTGGTCCCTGTAACATTACTCGTTGCTTATATTGCCTTATGTTTTTCTCTCCACATCTAGTTCTTGAACTGCAAACGTTGCGATAATTGAAATAGTTTTGTGACTTGTAACATCTGTCTTCTGAATGGTAGTTTTACCGCAACCAATTTTGTCTGGTTTTGCAGTTTCTAGGTTCTTCTTGAAACCCACTAACTTGCCACCAAACTCTTCCATTGGACATTTTGTTCTTCTCCCCATTGCTGCAAACGAAAGGGGTGCATTGGGTTTTAACGCATCTTCTGATATTCCTGATGATGGTGATAGTCTGTCAGAAAGTGATGAAGATGTTCCTATGAACGAGTTTCCATTGGATGCAAAGCTGCAGAACAAGCTGGAAAAGAAGTTGAAAATGAAAGTTGCAAAGAATATAAGGCTCAGAAGAAAGAAGCTTGTTCACAAGCGGAGGTTGAGGAAAAAGGGTCGATGGCCACCTTCAAAGATGAAGAAATTGAGCAATGTTTGACCTATGCTTTGTTTGGTACCTTTCAGGTGTAGTGCTGACCATTATGTTTTCTTATGCGTCTATACTTGGTGGCATGGTGCTGCATGGTTGAATATGTTTTGGTGTTGATATGCTTTATTTCGTTTGGTTCTACTATACTGTTGGATTATAGCTGCTAAAAGTCTGCATATATTTTTCAACCAATCTTTTCTATATTGTATCAGAGCTTGTATCATTTAGAACACTTTTATCACTGCATCTTTATTATCGTCTTTTATTACAAGTGTTGTGAACCATTTAGTACTTTCTCATTCTATGCACCTTTCTTAGTATTTCCCCTATGTCATTTCCTCTACATTTACTAGTAGTGTCTTTGGGCACCCTACACGCCTTTTTGCTGAATTAGCCACCACATTGCACTTACAAAGAGGACTTTTAACTTATTATTCACGGGCTCTAAAAATTTCCCAATTCTGCCATTGGTTAGGATTGGTTTTCGGTATCTATTTGATGTTGCATTTTTGGCTTTCTGACTTTGTATTCAGAGATTGCTAGTTGACACATTTAAACTTTCATTACCACGATGCACCCCAGTACGAACTTATCTTGTTACTAGAATGGAGTTCTAATATGCCCTGCCCTTGCATACAACAACTGAATATCGTCGTGCTACCCTGAAAATTGAGAACTTAGCAACAATTTGCTGATGAGTGTTGTGCTTCGTGGCAACTGTGTTCATATTTTTGTCCTAACAGTGTGTTATGCCTCCTTGTCTTACAGATTAATCAAAATAAAGATTTCATTAGGTCAATTCCAGCTAATCGTATTTGTTTCTTCGTGATTTGCAGCTAGTTGTGTGACATTTCAGAACAGAAGAGCGTGCCATGCAGTGGCAGTGCCGATACTGACATATAGTTCTACGTGTACAGCAAGAACTTCTCTTTTGCAAAGCAAGCTTTTGGGTGGGTAAAATTGGTAAAGAAAAGTTGCAGGGAAAACTTTATTATTCTGCTACTTGTGTGTACAGATTGATTTGGCTATTAGTATTGTTAGTAGCTTTGGTTAATTGACTATAATTTGTGAACTTGTTGATCAAATTTGGGTATATATTTAATGTTATCTGTTTTTGGGTGGTCAAACATTTTGCTATGTGCGTTTTCTCCTTTTAGATTTTGGCCTACAGCCATGTTAAGATCTAAAACACTCGGTGAAATTTGGAGCCCCTGCCCCACTTTTGTGTGCAGGGGATCGAAATTTGCCCATGATCTTTAAATTCAATCTTCTATTTTCGGGTATTATAAGTAATAGATTGAGACTTTGAAAAGGATGCTACATTTTTTCATTGATTAGAATATAATATATACTTACTTGAGGAGTTTGAATTTTAAATCTAATGCTTATATTATACATATACTAAAGGAGAGGACGGGATTCACTGTTCATGCTACAGTGCAATGAACAGTGTCTTTCCCGTTTTAACCCTGTTTTTTTCTTTTGCTGAAATTTTAATTCCCGTTATGTCCTGTTGAGTGTAAATTTACTATATTGCCCTTCATTTCAGTTTTTTGTGTTTTTATTTGCTGTAACCGTTTTCGTCATTTACTGATGCTTTTGGTTTATTTCGTTTGTTCCTTTTTCATTTGTTTTCCTTCACTTCTTTCTGTAGTGGTCTCTCTCTCTCTTTCTTTTGTTTTCTTCTGTAACCTTCTAGAGTTCTTCTTCAAGACTCAACTTGAGTTTTTTTTTTTCTTTTTCGTTTGTTGATTTCGGCGATTTTTTCTTCCTTTCTTTCTGTAGTCATTTATCTCTTTCATTTTTTTGGTTCTGCAATCTTCTACGGTTTTTTTTTCACTCAGATTGGGTTTTTTTTTTCTTTCTTCCGTTTGTTTTCTTCTGCAACCTTCTAGATCTGTTTTTATTTTTGCGCACTTAGATTGAGTAGGGTTTTGTTTTTTTTTTTTTTTTTCGTTCGTTGGTTTCTACGATCTTCTAGATCTGTGTTTACCTTTCTTTGTTTCTGGATATACTTTTCTCTCTTTCGTTTTTTCTCTTCTGCAACCTTTTAGATCTGTCCATTTTTTCAAATTTTTGGCCAGATTTCTTCGTTTCTCATATTTCTTTTTTCTGCAACCTTCTAGATCTTTTTTTTTATTTCTCGGCCAGATTTATTCGTTTTTCATCTTCTTTCTTTTTGCATATATATATTTCGATGTTTTATGTTTTATTTTTTTATTTTTTGTGGTTGTATATGCATGGTACTTTTTTGTTCCATTACGTTATTTGTTAGCTTCGTCTTTCATTTCGTTGATTTTTTTTTATTTCATGGGTTCGGTCATTTTTTTCAGATCTATGTTTTTATTAATTTTTTTTTAGGATGTTTGGTCGTCTACTTTAGATCTATGTTCATTTTTCATATTGTTTTGTTTATGTTTTTAAATTTATTTGTTATTCGACTGTTATATTTGTGAAGAAAAAATAAATTTTTTTTTCATAATTTCATATTTTTTTATCCATGTTATTTATTTTTTCGTCCCTGTTTTTAATTACTATATCTTGATTTATTCGTATTAATTTGAACAAATCTCTAATATTTTTCGTGATCTAAATGTAATAATATTTATGTTAATATTTTACTCTGACACGTGTATTTTTTATTTTTTTATTTTGTATAATATGTAACCAAAAAATAATTGTCTGTTATTTATTGGTTACATTTTGCGGTGGTCTTCATGCAGTGTGACGGCTGTTGTTAATTAATCATTACTTCTATTGCTTTCTGTTTGCAGGGATTTGTATCCGAGATTAAGCAAAACATTGGTAACTTTCTGTATATATATTGTATCTTACTTTTTTACGCTTTCTGTTTGCAGGGATTCGTCTTTCAGCTAATATTATCTATCATGTTCCATTCTCTCTGTTTTTTCACTCTTTAAAGACCATAATGATACTACTCATTTCTTACTAATCTTACCGCCTCCTTTATATCTCTTTGTTCTATCTCTGCTGCTCAGTAATTTTGGTTGCTTTCTTTGATCTATCGTTTTGCCCGTAGTTCGTTGAATCAGGTATTCATTTTTTCAATTTACTTTGGTTAATTTGTTCTAAAATATTAATTTATAATGTTATGTTTGTTCGTTTTATGAAATGTTTTATACTGCACTTTACTTTTTTCCTTCTCTATTGTACTCTCAGTCATTTATTTCTATAATAATTTGATTATCTGAGATTTTATATTTACAAAGTTTTCTAAATCTTATTAAGATATAATGTTTTTCTTTATGAAAAATTTAGTTTTTAATATCCAAATATTTTATTCTCTTCTGGTTATGATGATGTTATATTTCATTTGTTGTTAATATGTGATGGGTAATTGTTACTACAGATATGGCTATCATTGATGTTGCCCTTATTATTTTGGACTTATGCCAATATATTTTAATTTGTCTTTTGTTTTAGTTTTACTATATATTTGTATTTATAAAAGCTGCTTTTGTCTATGATACTATTTTGTACATAGCCGTTTGTTTCCTCTGCAGTTCACTCTTTTTCTTCTTCATTGTATTTTTGGTCATTTACTATTATTCTTAATTTATTAACTGACATTTGATATTTACACAGTGTTCTAAATTTTATTACAACAAAATGCCTTTATTTATCAAAAACTCAGTTTCTTATATTCAAACATTTTATTCTTCTCCGGTTATGATGATGTTATATATCATTTTTTGTTAACATGTGCTGAGTAATTGTTATTACAGATATGGCTAGCATTGATGTTGCCCTTATTATTTCAGAGTTATGCCAATATATTTTATTTCATAAACTCCTTAATAATGTAGTTGGTAGCCATGTATATTGCCACATTTTGTTTGAATTACTTATGGTATATATTCTTCACAATAAATTAATATAATTTGAACCAAATGTATACTAAATTTTCTTACTTATGGCATAAACTCCTTAATAATGTAGATGTCAGCCGTATATATTGCTAAATTTGTATCTAATTACTTAAAGTATATGTTCTTGACAATAAATTATTATTACCTGAACCAAATATTTATATATAATGTTATGTTTTCCTAAATGTTTCTTCATATATTTATAATCTCTACTCAATTTACAGTATAATATAAAGCTCTTTTTTCCCTGTACACTGATTTATTTTATGTATATGATATATTAGTGTAACTAGGTATATTGCACAAACTGTTTGATTCTTATTTTTTTTTATATTGCTCTATCACTTATTCCTATGTTTTTTCTTTGCCCGTTCTGTATATGATTTTATATTCTTCTGTTTGTTTTCCCTGCGTTTCTCTCTTTTTTCCATTTAGCCCATTCTCGGCTAAAGTTATGGTTTTAACTTATATCTTTCTGATTTTTTTTAGTGAACACTGAAATCTTTTATTTTCCTTAGTATATGTGTAATCCTGTATATTGCTATTCTAAGCTATACTATTTTTTCTTACTTATGGCATAAACTCCTTGATAATGTAGCTGGTAGCCATGTATATTATATTGCCAGATTTTGTTTCAATTACTCATGGTATATATTCTTCACAACAAATGAATATAACTTGAACCAAATGTATACTAAATTTTCTTACTTATGGCATAAACTCCTTGATAATGTAGCTGGTAGCCATGTATATTGCCAGATTTTGTTTCAATTACTCATGATATATATTCTTCACAACGAATGAACATAACCTGAAGCAAATGTATACAAACTTTTCTTACTTATGGTATAAATTCCTTGATAACATAGGTGGCAGCCGTGTATATTACTAGATGTCATATATATAACTCCACTTTGTACTTTCCTGTTTTTCTTACCTGCGCTGGACAACTTTTCCCTTCCAGTCGACTTTTAATCATTCACTGCTATTCATATTTCATTCACTAATGTTTGTTGCCTGTACTTGACTATTCTTTCTTTCCAATCCACCTTTGGTCATTCACTGCTATTCTTACTTCGTTGACGAACGTTTTATATTTATACATTGTTCTAAAGTTTTACTACAAAATAATGCCTTTCTTTATCAAAAATTTTGTTTTTTATATTCAAAAATTTAATTCTCACGATTGTAATGTTGTTTTATTTTTTTTTGTTAACATGTGCCGGGAAATAAGCTACAAGTTTGTGTGAGGAAATATTACAAGACAGATTTTGAAAATTTTCTCACAGGGGCATGAAATAACTTAAAAATCTAAATTTATGATATAATTGAGACATAAATTTATATATAAATTTTTTTTCCTTATTCTGTTATAATTATTTTCACGAAGCAATAATAGCTTTCATTCCTTTTAATACATGTATAATAATACATATTATTGTTTATAACTAAATAACTTTTCTTTTCTTGATTGGCGTTTGCCAGCTACTAAAACAAACAAAATAGTAAATAAAAACATAAACAAAAAAATTTGAGTTATACCAATGCAAACGGTTGGCCTTGAAACAGGAACAAAAAAATCGATTTGTATTAGTACAATTAGTTGTGGCAAAGCCGAAGTTGACACAATTCAATAGTTTTTAACATAATAACATCCTTAACATCATACATGTTTGTTTTTACTTTTTTATTCTGAAAACTTTATTTCTTTTTATTTTACATTTTATTTACTTTATCTTTTTCTCTAAATATGTTTCAATTGCTTTATTTGTATAGTTTTTTCCTGATTTAATATATGTGTGTAGCATATTAGTACAATTAAGTCAATTCTAAAATACATTTGTTTTATTTTCTTTCTTATATTTTATTTTTAACATATTATAATCATTATGTGGCAATAAATTATTTCCCTATTGTGTCATTTCCGAGCAGATTTGGTCATTTCTTATCTCCATAGTGTACTGCTACACTTGAAAATCAATCGTTTCCTGCTCTATCTTCATAGCAAAGCATCATTTCTATATATACTCTGATTTGGTTAGCTGAAATTTGCTATTTACACAGCATTCCAGGTATTATTAAAATTTTATGTCTTTATTATTTTAATATT